TAAACAAGTATTTTCACACAACTAAACAAGTATCATCAGCCGGTGATAGTGAATCAGCAATTGAACAAGTGTGTGAATTGATTGAAAAAAACGATCAAAAGTTCCATTATTATCCTGGATTTTCCCATCCCATATGTCAAGTTTGTTTCAGAGACGTATTATCCTTAGACGACTGTATAACACTCATATTCTGTGGGTGCTTTTTCCATATAAACTGCTTGGCAAGATTGCTGTATAGTAAACAAATATCGGGAGAATGCCCAAAGTGCACCAAGGAGATATTTCATGTGGATATGAAGAAACTGATGGATATTGGTCAAGATTTAACACCGTGGACATGGAAAGATACTTTAAGTGCAATGGAGTATAAAAAGTTTATTATTCCTGACAGCAATATTAATTCCTATAGAAATAAAATGCAACGAGAAGATCAAATTAAAGGGAAACCGGGTAAATAAAAAATTTCCAACTGTTTTTTCATCAATGTAGATTAACATATAAAATTTTTATAAGTTGATTTTGTATTTGAATATTTTTTCTTTCTTTTTTTGTATCTGAATATTTTTTCTTTCTCTAGAATTTAAATTTGACATATTGTAATTTTTTAGTATATATAAATATATGTTTGTTGATTATGTGGTCATTTTTTTTTTTTGAATAAAATATATTATTGTTTCATGTTGCGTTATATTGTCTTATTTTGAATTGTATTGTTAATTTTTTTGAAAAAAATTAGAAGGAAAAAAATATAAGAAGAAGGCTTTGGAAGGCTAAATCAGATTTATTTTAGATTAACAGTTATAGATAATATAAATACTTGATTTCATCAACTTGGTATTGGTTAACATAAAAACTTTCAAACTTCAAATTTTTTCAGATGAAATAAAAAAAAACAGTATTCAAGAACAAAATAATAAAGTTAATAAAGAAAATTTTAAAAATATTCAAGGAAAAAAAATTGGATTAAAAATATAAAATATATAAAAATAAATATATGAAATAAATAAAAAATATTAAAAAAAAATATATATATATATATAATTATATACATATATATATAAAAAAAAATTTGTCTAACAATCACCAAAACAAATGTTTTGCTGCTGGTGATCAAAAATTAGCAAGTATTAAAACAACTTCATTGGATGAAAGAAAGAATGGAAAATTATCTCATTCCCATTGGAAATAAGCACAATGCACCTCTTGATTCCTATATAATTTACAGTATGCGGGGCGGAATCAAAGGAATTAATTATGTGAAACGAAACAATTATTTTAATTTTATAAATTACTATCTTAACTGTTATAGCGGCGAGGATATGAATCTAACGCTTGATTTAGCATTAGCTGAAACTCATGCCTTGCTGTTTGATTTGGATTTTCAATTTGTGAACGAGTATGATTCCAATGCAGTGAACCAGTATACTAAAGAGAACGTTTACCCCTGCTTACAATCCCTGTTGAATAATTTAAAATGTTTTTCAGTCATTGTAGCCATCCGTCCTGAAGGAGGTCTTCACATCCACTTACCCGAACTTACTCTAAGTCACGATGATTACATCCTCTTGTGTAGTCAACTGCAGACACATTTGAGCAAAACTTTTGACACCTTTTCTGTAACTCTCGATATTGTGAAAAACTTCAATTTGGCTACCTCTGCCAAAGTGGGAATGTTACCTTATTCTCCCATTTACATTTGCTATTTTGAACAAGAACGTATCCCTCTCGAATTGCCTCTATTTCACGAGGGGCATTATACGCGCGTCTCTCTAACGCATCGCAAATTGTTTAAACTAAAAAAAATCAACACGCATACAGTTTATCGTGAAATACTGCCGCTTCATTACCCTATGATGATGAACAAAATGTTTTTTTACATGATGCCCATTGTCGTGCGAGAATCGCTGCAACCCATCTGTTATCAGACTCAAATTTCGACTCACGTGCAACAGCCCTTTCAACCCGTAGCTACTTTCAAGTTTCGAGAACGCGAATCTTATATCATATCCAAATCAGTCGATTTAAATTTTAAATCGACTGATTTTATGAAAGCATTTCATTTCATTCACGCCAACGGTATTCGCATTAGTGATTTTGAGAGTGAAAATTATGCGTTACGCCAGTGGTTGAAACGCAGTCAACTAAATCATACGGTCGTTTCGGATATTTTTGAAGATGTCAATCGTTTGTTGGTCGAAGACAATACGTTTTTAAGAGGTCATCCTTATCCCGTGAAAGCTATTATGGAATTTAATCACGGTGTGCATTTCCTGCCCATGTACTATGCCTTATGCAATCACAAAAAAATGAAATCGTCTGATTTAATGCGCTTCCTGAAAAGTCTCAACGTATCAGATGAATTGTTAAATAAAATGCAAGATATTGATGATGGTATTATTGATGCCATCTGTAAAGATTTCACCATCAACACCATTCTTTATTGCGGCTCCAATTTGTCTCAGAAATGTACGGCGTTTAATGATAAAATTAAAAATATCATTTGCGAAATGGCCAACACGCTCGAATCTTGCATGACCCCCGACAATCTGATGGATGTGATTTACCGCATTATGGAGCGTTACAATCCCGTTATTGTGGCGCAGTTAAAGAACTCGTGCAAGAAACCAGTCAAATATATGTGGAATATTATACAACAACAATGGCAGGAAGTTCAAGGGGACTCACAAATTAAAAATAATATTGTAAAAATTTTGACCAATATTCGCAAAGTGATCAGCCATTCTCCACAAGCCCGCACTGTGTTGAAATTGTGTCAAATCAGTTTGGCGCAAGAGATTTTGGCCAATATTGAAAGTGAATCTAACATGAACCGCCAACAGATTTCAATTGACCAACATAAATGGCATATTCGGATAGGGGATGTAGGAGTGTTATGCTTGCTGTCTGGTCATGTGGGATCGACCGTGCCCGAATTTTATTTATCGAATTTATCCATTGGGATTCCTCTGTCGGCGCAAGAGTTGATGGATTTAAGAACTGACTCATACCTGTCTTTGGTGTACAAAACGCTGCTATCCAGAGAATTTTTTGACGCCTATTTGACCCATCTGTTTATCGATCTGACGGACGATTTTAACGATACGTTGGTGGAAACGGCTAAAAAGTTTGAGATTTATGACCCAAGCAATCTCTATATCAAAAGTATTCTCAATTTTTACGAACATATAACTAAATATATGTCATTTGAATATGATGTATTAATTTATATGATAGATGTATTATCAAGTATTTTAATTGCAACTAACTATTGTCGACATTTTTTTATTTTTCAAGGTGTGACGGGGAATGGGAAATCGAAATTTTTTGAAATGATTTCCAAAGTGTTTGGCAGTTACAGTCAAAATATTAGAAATGTGAATTTGCAGAGCATGAAGAGTTTGAATGCTCAACCCGAAATGGCCGCATCGCTTTTCAACAAGCGCGTAATTCTCATTGAGGAATTGTGTGGAAAAATTGACGAAAATCTCATCAAGGAAATTACGGGCAACTCCCAAACGAGTTTCCGCTTCTTGTACGAAAATAATACGGGAGGATGCCCCACTGCTAAAATATTTGCTACCACAAATACTGCTCCAGTGTGTACCGGTACAGAAGCATTTCGAGCGAGAGTGGTCACCTTTCCATTCCATTCGTCGTTTGTCATGTTTGAAGAGAACGTGAGTACGTCGTATCAGGTCGAACACGATCGTTACAAACTCGTTCGAAGCGATGCTGTCACGAACGATTCGTATATGGGCTTTTTTATTTTCATTTACATTCATTTGGTTTACAATATCAATCAAAAAGATGGGTATTTGCATTTGAGACCTGAGCCGCTCATTTTAAAAGAATTTAAAGAACATTATTTACAGATGACATCTTTGTACATGCAATTTAAACAATATGCAGATGTACAACTGGTTGAAGGAGAATCCACCACACGAAGTGATGTTATTTCGGCCATCCATACGTTTTTGGTGGAAACTAAAAGAGTAGGTAGTGTGCGCGATTCAGATTTGTTGACCAAATTTGAAACGGAATTCAGACAGCATAAACAGTGTGAAGAAATTAATGATTTTTATGAAATGTGTGGGATGGACGAGGAAGATTATGAACCCGTAGTGAAAAGGAAAAAACCGACCTGTATTACTTTGTACAAAGACATTTCAATTAAAACAGTGAGAAGAAAATAAAAAATGTAAGTGAAATTATTTCCACTTTCATGTAAATGAAATTATTTCCACTTTTATATAAATGAAATTATTTCCACTTTTATGTAAATGAAATTATTTCCACTTTAGATTTGTTTTTATTCATTACATTTGTTTCATATAAATGAAATTATTTCCACTTTTATGTAAATGAAATTATTTCCACTTTAGATTTGTTTTTATTCATTACATTTGTTTCATATAAATGAAATTATTTCCACTTTTATGTAAATGAAATTATTTCCACTTTAGATTTGTTTTTATTCATTACATTTGTTTCATATAAATGAAATTATTTCCATTTTCATGTAAATGAAATTATTTCCACTTTAGATTCGTTTTTATTCATTACATTTGTTTCATTTAAAATTTTCAAACAAAAATCAGAAAATTCCAAAACTTTAATTGCACTTGAAAAGAAATAGATGAGAAATAAATAAATAAAAAAATTTATGAGAAATAAATAAACAAAAAAATAAATGAGAAATAAATAAATAAATAAATAAATAAAAAATAAATGAGAAACAAATAAATAAAAAGAGGAAGAAAAGAATTTTTTAATTTTAATTAATTGTAGGTTAGGAATTTTCCAACTTAAGTGTCACTGGTATTGAGATGCCGCGTGAACATTTAAAATTTGAGCCAATTATAATTTGATTTAAAATCCGAGTTAAATAAGAATTTGATTTAAAATCCGAGTTAAATAAGAATTTGATTTAAAATCTGAGCTCCATTTGCTAAACTATGGCATTATTTTTATGTTTATAAACAAGCTCCATTGGCTAAGCTATGGTGCTCTTTTTCCCACTGCGATGGGAAAAAGTCTCTCATACTCCGGACAACATTGTGACGGTAAAAATTACTGGTATTGATTCGGATGGAAAGTATATTATTCACGAAAAATTATACAAAGAATGGATCGGAGTGTGCACTATAAACATCGATAAAGTGGTTAAAAACGTCAAAAGGTATTTTCCATCATGTTGCATTTCGTACAAACTATTAAACGAGCAACTTTACAAAAAAGTCTTACCCTATTTCAATGAACGCTTAAAAAAGGGTAAATTGCGCTACTCGAATAAGCCATTTTATAAATTGTATGTCTCCGCTTCGATTGCAGATGTGGGATATTTTTTTAATGTGTACAAAATGGCTTATTATGAGTTGGATGATTGGTTGGTCCGTCTTTATATCGATTTAGGAGGTGATTTTTATTACAAGTGGTACAATGTTGATCCTCATTCAAAAGGATTGTTGGATGCGTTTCAAATCAATAGAAACTGTCAAAATATTCCCCCGATATATATGGCGGCCTTTGATTTGGAAACGATTCCTTTAGATGGCGAGGATCGCGTACCGACAGGCCATTCGTCAAGTGATCGTATTGTAATGATGAGTATTGTGAAATGGTCCAGTATAGGCCATTATTCAACGCATGTGTTATATCTCAATCCGTTAACTAGAGAAAAAGCATTTGATGGTCTAGAAAAAGCAGGAGAAACTACAAAAAGTGTGCACGATTCTTTGAACCTCAGAGAAAAAGCAGGAGAAATTACAAAAAGTATACACAATTCTTTAAACCTCAACCCTTTTCTTTACCGAGAATATTTCAACGAGCTCGACATGTTGCGTGATTTTTTTCAACTTATGCAAGATGTACAAGTGATTACGGGCTACAATATCAATCAATTTGATATTCCTTGTCTATTGGCTCGATTGATTTGGCTGCAAGCTTATGATATCACAAACCACTTTTCCTCCAAGCAAATTGGCAAATACATCATTCCCACCTGGGACAACAAATTGGTGATCGACATGTACAATTTTGTCGATATTTTTTCTTCTTACAATCTTCCAAGCTTAAAGCTCGATGACGTATCTCACTGTAAACTCGGCGAGGCTAAAATTCCCGTGAAATCGACTGGCATTCACGCTTGGTATGTTTCTGATAGTGTCACTCTAAAATTGCTACACTCCAGAGACACAAATTACTGTTTCCACGTGTTACAACCCAGAAATGTGAGATTGTTTGAATTTGGGACTTTTACGCAGTATTTAGAATATTGTTTACAAGATTCCAAACTAGTTTATAAATTGTTTATGCACGAAAAAGCGCTCGAATTTCTCGTTGAGAGGGCAAATTTTACCTGCCTTCATCTGGAAGAAGCCCTCTACTTTGGCAATTCCAGGTACATTTTCAATGTGCTCAAAACGTACGGGACGCTGATGGGTTTCTTTCTCAATGCTACCTTTTTTAAAAATACCAATGTCCAAGATAGCAAACCTTTTAAAAAGTTTTTTCTCAAAGAGAACACATATCAGGGTGCACTCAATTACTCTTTGGCTGGCACGTTTCACAATAATGTTCACGTCTTTGATTTTGCGAGTATGTATCCCTCTATTTTACTCAATCAAAATTTATGCTATGGTACGTGCACCATATTGACAACCCAAGATTATTTTCAATTACCTCCCGATATTCGAGACCAATGCTGTAATGTACCTTATCGCAATCATTCTGAGACTGATTTTGCAAATGCATGTGTTGATATCACTAGACCCTATCAATATCCCGAGGTAGAAGAGCACGATACTGCTGTCATGGTGTGGTATAAAGACGAAAAAGGGTTTTTACCTACTGTTTGTGAACATTTTCTCGCAAAACGGTTCGAGGAAAGAAAATTATTCAAAGAAACCGGTAATATCATTCATTATAATAAACAGTTGAATATGAAATTATTTCTCAATTCCATTTATGGTTGCATGGGTTCGAACGAAACCCCTCTCGCTTGTCTGTACATTGCCATGTCTATTACCGCCTTTGCGAGAATGTATTTACTCGCTTCAGTTCAATTCTTTCTCGCCCGAGACTGTGTCATTGCAAATTGCGACACAGACAGCGTCTTTGTGGTGAACAATTCTTCGACTGACGCTACTCTCGTCAATCGTTTTTTAAATCAACCACACATGAGTTTAGCATACGAACAAACAATGGATTTTTTACTTATCATTTCTAAAAAACGCTACGTCTATCAAAAGGGAGATACCATCTATTTTAAAGGATTTGAAAAAAAGTCAAGTCAATTGGTCAAAGATATGACGCATTTGTTGGTCGAAAAAACGTTTAAAGCGTACAAAAAGGGACACACGAGTCAGTCACGAGGGCTTAAAATTTGGGTCAAAACGTTGGTTCAGGGATATGCAGCGTGTAAGGATCCTAAAAAATATTGCTTGACGCGAAAAGCGAAAAAATTGGAGGAGTACAAATCAAAAACGTGTCCCCAGTTGAAACTGTTGAGAAAAAATCCCGAATTGGGAGGACAATATATTGATTATACCTATAGTCAGGCAGACGTCAAATACAATCGGGAGACCCAGTGGATTATGCGGGTAGAAGAGGTAGAGTATGTCAATTTTGAAAAATTGATTGGTAGTCAAAAGAAAATTTTAATGACTATATTAAACATTGCCTTTTTTCGATCGCAACTGGGTGACAAATGGTGTGACCAAGTGTTGAATACGATGAAATGGAAAAACTTTTTAAATGCTGAATTTAAACAGTATTGGCAAACAAAAAAATGCATTTTAATTTTGATGAAGAAAGGGGTTCGCTATACGTTTAATATATAAATAAATGAGATGTATTTGATCGATCAAAAATTATAAACAAAAAAGTATTT